CCCGGGGGAGGGGAGCTGGAGAGCTACTGCTTAAGAGCGCCGGGGTCTCTGGGGGTGATGGAACTGTGATGGAAGTAGTGGTGATGGCTGCTCAACCCTGAGGATGCCGATCAAGGTCGCCACACTAACAGCAGGGCTTAAAACGGCAATTTCTTGTCTCTATGTCATCACAGCAACTTAAAAACCCAAAAAGAAAACAAACACGAGAGAGCGGACAGGTATGCTCTATCCCAATCAGAATAAGAGATGAAGGGGGACGTGTTATGAACGTTCATAATAAAGAGGCTTTGGCAAGACAGCCTCACTATTCTCTCTCACCCCCAGTGCCCCAAGCCACCAACACATCTGTTCGTAGTACCAGGGGCTTCAAAAAGTTCATGGGAGAATTCCATCAGCTTTCAAGCTCCATTTTGTCATGAATTTTCTGAAGCCACCTTGTAAGTATGATGTTGAATGACCTCTATTTTAGTCTCGTTGCGCTATTTTTAACGCACTTAAAATATATAAATAAGAAATCTAAGATGTGTTGTTTTACAATGCGCCAACAGTACCAAAGCCTAAATTGCAGCCTTTGTAAGGCTTTCAGGGTGGGACCAGCAGCGTGGCCTGTCCTGATCTGACAGATGCAGCCCATCAGTGTTCTAAAGGCACATTTAAGGAGCTCTCTCTGGTGGTACAGTGGAGCCCTGGCAGTAAGTGTTGGACGGTTAACCCTAAGGTTGTAAGTTCAAATCCACCAGCTGCTCCATGGGAGAAAAATGAACTTGTATGCTCCCGTAAAAGATTTACAGCCTTGGAAACGCTATATAGGATCAATAGGAATTGAAATCAACATGATGGCAGTGGAGCTTTGTTGTTGTTGTTTTTGGGGGGAGTAATGGCATTGTTTTTGTGTGTGGAGGGGGTTAGGGGTGGTGGTGTAATGGCACAGTGGTTAAATTCTGAGTCGCTAACATAAAGGTTTGTGGTTTGAACCCACCAGCCACTGCTTGGGATAAAGATGAGGCATTCTGCTTGCTTCTGTAAAAGTTCCAAGTCTTAGAAACACTACAAGGCAGCAGCTCTCGCCTGTCCTACAGGGTAGCTAGCTATGAGTCAGCAGAGTCAAAGCCAGTGGGTGTGTTTTGGTTTATGACACGACAGTTACATACAAGCCTGAAGAGAGAGAAAAAACTGTCTTCACACTAGTTCCAACTTTGTTACTTACTCACCAGCTGCGTGAACTTCACAAGTGAACCTCTCTGTACCTCAGTTCTCTAATCTTGAGATGGGGACAATAAGAGTCCTTTTTTTTCCTAATGGTGGTTGGACATGTTAAGTGAGCTAGTGAATCTGAAAGCACCTTCAAACTTTATAATGAGTTACAAAAATATGATAAATTACTACTTGTGGTAGTTACCTAATCTGGTGTCAATTTGGGACTCCAGAGGATTAAGAGTGAAGGGGTGGAGTCTTGTCTGTCAATTGGGCCATAGCCAATGAGGCCTCTGTGTGGGCATGACCTTCTCTGGAGAATTCTGAGAACTCCTGTATTTCCTCCTTGAAAGCGGGCGACACACATTCTCTCGGCTCACTCCCAGACAGACACTCTACTGACAAGACACATGGCACTACGCTAACAGACCCCTGCCCTGGAAACCGGAGAAGCTACATGGAAACCCTTGCCAGCGCTGAGATGGTTATAACACCACTGGATCCACAAGCCTTCTAACCCACTGGCCTGTGATCGTCCTGCATCTGGCATCATTTCATATATTTTGTAACTCTAAAAAGGACTTTATAGATTGGTATCAGACATATGGTCTAATATCAGACTTATGGACTTGATCTGGACTGGGCTATGTTCTCTCAATATTCAACTACTCTTGTATATAAAGCTCTTTCTTATACACGTGAGTGTCCATGAATCTGTTTCGCTAGTCTACCCAGACTGACACACTGGTACCACTACCACTACCACTATTTATTTCTACTACTACAAGATTTCATTAGCCTTCCAGGAGTGGCTTCACAAGGGAAACGAATGAAGTCAGCTTTGACAAGTGGCCTGGCCTAAGTCCTAATCAGGGCGCCAAGTCCATTTTCACCAAGCAAGGGAGGAAACGTGTAACTTCTTCGCTGCTGTGTGGAGCCATGGGGCAGACTTCCAGATGTCCAGAAACTACGTAGAAGGCGGAAGGCCTGGAGCATTCAAAGGAGTCATTACTGCAAACCTCTACCCCAAAGGTTGGCGGCTTGCGCCCATCCAGAGGTGTCTCCAGAAGTAGCCTAGGGATCTGTTCCCAAAAGTCACAGCCTCAAAAACCCTGTGGGGTGTACAGTGGACCCCCAGAATCCCACTGGACTTGATGGCCGCTGGTTTGGCTTGAGTTCAGAACCTTCCCCAGGATGGGCTTCGCCACCGTTGGAAAAACAAAAGGGATCTCTTTCTTTGTACAGACCCTTTGAAGACCGCTAGCACCACATGGTATTAGCATAAATACAGCCCTGTCCGGAGAGGGGCAATCTTGTTCTTGCATGAACTCTAAACCACAGCCACTGCCATCAAGCCGATGCCAACTCATAGTGACCTAGAGGGCAGGGTCCAAGTGCCCCTGCGAGTTTCTGAGACTGTGAACAGGAGTCATAATTAAAATGACAGGGGAATCCTCATAACTGAGAGATACCCAGGTAGCAAATTTTGGTTTCTTTGTTCTTGGATGTCTGCGGACCTGAGGCTACAGGCTCATCACGGAGTTGTCTGTGTGTCTGTCTGTCACCCAAGTAATTTTGTTTTGGAACCTGTATGTCACTAAACAATCCGAGTCAACTTCAGTCTTACTTCTTCCTCCTGTGTTAGCCACTCAGACCAATTGCTTAGATCCGAGCGGTGAGGAATCTGGCGCCTACCCTCTCTCTCCCTCTCTTTTTCGATGTTAACTTCATGTATTTATTTTGGTGTTTAACAAGAAACATTCTGTGTAGATGCACAACCCGGCTCATCAAATCAACTCAGTACGGGTATCCCGTTAACCCTCGCTTAAAAGGGGGTTGTCTGGTTTGTTTTCCCCCCTTCCTGCCTCCCACCTCTCTCCATATTTCCTGTCCCTCCAGCTCCCTGTCCATATCCCAGTCCCCATCCCTGGCCTCCTGGTCATCTTCACAGTGTGAAAGTATGAAAACGACTTTTCTTTTGCTTTTTAAGAAGGGCATCATGAAATATGTGTCCTGATCAGATTGACTAACGTTACTGAGCATAATGCTCTCTAGCTTGTCCCAGTCTTGTGGGGTCTGAGGGTCGTGATTGTTTTATTGATGTAGGAAAATGAAGTCCATTGGGCCAGATTGTATTTATCCGTTCATCTATAACGGGAGTTTGGGTTGCTATTATGGACAGTGCTGGGATAAAGATCGGTGTGAACATGTCTGCTGTGTTGTGTTCTTTCATTCTTCGGTGTATACGTCCAGTTGTGTGGCTGCGGGATTATAAGGTTTTTGCATTTGTTTAAGGATGCGCCACCCTGATTTCCATAGTGGCTGCACAGTCCCACCAGCAATGTATGAGTCAGTGCTCCAATCTCTCTGCATCTATATATTGTTTTCTATTTTTTAAAATTCTGCTACGACTGTTGGTAGGAGGTGGTATCTCATTGTTGTGTTACTTTGTATTTCTTTTATTGCTAAGGAACTCAAAAATGCCTTTATGTGGTTGTTAGCTGCCTGGACTTCATCTCCAAGTAGCTTTAAACAGATAGCATCGCTTCGAAACACACAGCTTGCATGAGCTGCATGTAGCAGAGAAAAAGCCTTTCTAACAATCTTAACTCTTATTATAGGGAGCCCTGCCATGGTTACGTGCCTGGCTGTGAACTGATGACACGCAACCACTGTCCGTGGTTGGAGGCCACCAATGGCCAGGAAGAGCAAGATGGGGCAGTCTGCTTCCACAGAGATTACAGCCTTGCAAACGCTAGGGGCCTTCCACAAGCTCCTGCAGGGTCACTGGGAGTTAGAACTGTCTGGATGGCAATGTGTTTGGTTTAACCTTCCTTAGGTTTACTTTGTCTCCCCTTTTTAGCCTACAGAATAGAAGTAAAGCGAGCAAGTACTCTAACAGAAAACCCATCCTCCATCTTTACCACCCTTTAGAATTTCAGAAAGGAGGAATCTCATAGGGGCCTAGGATGTGCTTATAGAATTGAATTATTTTGAAGTCTCATAAAGAAAAACACAGTAAATCAGAAAGATATTTTTAAAAATCATTATTATAGAAGCTCTGCCCCCAAATAAAATCAGGAATAGTAAGAAGAGAAACTGAAACTCATTCCTCACTTGTGCCTTGTCCTATTGCAGCTTCCCTGGTCCTCTGCGCCCCCCCCCCCCCAACCCCATCAACGATGTGGCGTCCCCATCAGCTACACGCAGGCATGTTTGGAACCCTCAACGCATCCACCGAGAGCAAAACAAAGTCTCAAGATGGTTCAACAAACCGACTTAGGGATAATGGCTCAAAGTACATGATTATCTTGTCACAACCTACAGTTAGGGCTAATTGCTAGAAATGCATGTCGACTCTGTCACTCTGTCACTTGCCTGACACCCCCCTTCCTTTCCCAAAGTGGACCCGGTTGGACACAGAGCTGATAAAGAGTAATTGAGGCAATCCTCAGAGTCACATACATCTTCTGTCTCCTTCTGCACAATTCAGGGGAACGACACCTCGGCTGCACTCTTTATTGCGACACATGAAAATGAGTTCCCAGACTAACAATAACCAGCCCTCCCATGAGCGGAGTTGCCCTCTTGCATTGACGAGGATGGTGAGGAACTGGGATGTAATTGACTTTTACTCCGAATTCTGAGAATCGCGTTTCCCTGCCCCAGCCCCCACGGCAGTCAGCATGCAGGCCAAGGCCTGAGACTGGGCGCTCAGCCCGCCACGGCCCACAGCCCGCGCCCGGTAGCCCGTCTTTGCCAGCTTGGCTACAGGGGCCGCGTGCACAGGGAGGACAGCACAGTACCTTCTTGCACACAGATGGGCTTGTCGCTTGGGATCCAGCCGAGGGTCCCGTTAAGATGCTTTATGCACAGTCTCTTTGGGGAGCCCTTCAGCTTGAATCCGTCTTGACAGCGATACCAGGTCACAGAGCTTTCAAAGAAAACACCGCCGATGGGGGTCCGGAAGCCATTGTCGGGGACGCCGGGGTCGGCACACACATTCAGGTCATCAAACCCTATGGTGACAGAGAGGAAAAATGCTACTGAGTATATTCTCCTGGAGCCAGAGGAGGGGTGGGGGAGGGGGGGCTTCCTAGTAAATGTAGACCCCGTGTTAGTTCATACACCTAGGACCACCCCAGCGACACCAACCCAAACCAAGAGCATGCCCGTGCCAGGACACATTTCCCCCTGCCTTTTGTTCTTTGCTCATTAAGGGTCTTCCAGTCCATGGTCAAGAGAGCCCTTCACAGTGGTTTATAGAGTGGGGAAACTGAGGAAAATAAGCAGGCAAAAAGAAAAACAGACAGGTGCCACGGCACGAGGGCTTAAGGCTGACGGGGCACCTTAGAGGCGAGGGGCCCAGGGCCTGCTCAGGAGGTTGGGTAAGATTTCAGCAGCCCTCCTGACATCCTAATGAGGAACAGCATGAACAGCCAGAGGGCTGAGGGGTGAGTGTGGAGGGAGCAGCAAGGCAGGGGCTAGTCATCACTCCCTCAGTTACAACCCAGGAATGGATCCATGTGCCCCCCGCGTTGGAGAACCCCAACACCCACGCCTCAAGGCCCAGTTAGGTGTCTCCTACTCTACAAACCATCCTGAACCCTACCCTCCCTCCACCCCCAAGACCACTAGGTGGAGTGCACCGTGGCCATTCTGGTCCCAGCCCCTGTCCTGTAAGCATGGCCTGTGTGGAGCTATCCTGTCTGAAGGCCGCCTCCATGCCAGGCTGTGAGCCCTCCAATTGGCAGGCCCTTGACTTTTCTATCTCTGTCCCCAGAATACATCGCAGTGCCCAGCAGAGAAAGTGTTGTGTGTGTGTCTGCTGGATAGGGGAGTGGGTGATCCCAAGAGGCCAGTGTGGGGCCACAGGGCAGGGCATGCCTCAGCTGGAGGAGGTGCATCAGAAGGGCAGGCCAGAAAAGGGATGCAGGAGCTGGTTTGGGCAGCGAGGAGTAAAGAAAGGATTTGCTGGGAGTGCTCTAAAGGAATCCACCCTGGCAGGGAAATTACATCCCCTTCATGGAGAATCAGAAATGCCTGAGTGCTACCAAGGCATTCTGCCCAAGCTCATCATGGCTCTCAGGGCCTTGCTGAGCAGTTATGCAAACATGCAGAACTCTACCTGGAGGGGGGTGATGTGCTTCGCCACTCCCACCCCTTCCCGCTAGCACAGCCTGCAGGCGCCAGGTCTGCTGACCACTGCCAAGTCCTGGCAGAGGGGTGGAAACAGCGGGCGCCAACAGCGTGGCATCTCACGTATTCTCTGTCCAGGCCCTCAAAGTCAGACCCCCGGAGGATTCACCTGGTTTCTAAGAGATGCAGACATCAGCCTAACCACGCAGCAGATCCACGCTAACATACGCTGGTAAAAGACCCTAAGTGGTAGGTCGAGCAGGCCGCACCCACTCCCTCTTTTGTGTGCGCATGCATGCGGGACGCTCTTGCTGCCCCTCACCTGGCCTCTAGAGTCTGGACATTCTGCCCGTGCCTGTGTGCTGAAGGGCAAAGGGCAAAGAGGGCACCGAGGCGAAAGTGCGTACTTTGTTTTTACAGAGATTGACAGGTCTGTTTGTGAGGCAAAGCCTCACAGAGGTCTGTCTGTGAGGGCAGCCTGAATCTGACACCAGACTGCAAGACCAGAGGCTCAAGTCCAGTCAGGGCCGGCAATCTACTTCCAAAAGAGCAGCCACAGAGCCTTGTGGGGTCACCAGGGGTCACAGTCAAACTCAACGGCAATGGTTTCACCCTGTTTGTTTTGCAACACACGTGTGATGTTTTAACATCATCTTGCCTTCTTGGCCCTCTCCTCATCCATGGCCACGGCCTCCCCTGAACTGTTTCCGAAAGAAAGGAGTCCCCCCCAAAAAGGGACTGCTCCCCCAACAGTGTAAGCAGAAGGAAGATGTGTGTGTGTGTGTGGGTGTGAGTGGGTGTGGGTGTGCAATAAAGAACCGGGAGGTCCATGATGGTTGCATGTTTTCCTTTTGAGGGGAAGTACTGGAGATGGTCACGTGCTTCCTAAGTGACACGTATCCATCCTTCCTCGGGAGAGCCTGACTGGATGAGCCGTTTCAGGGTAGGCACTGGCTAAGCATGGCCATGGTGGCACTGAGGTGGCAAAATAGGAGCACAGAGGCTCCTGACTTATCACCACCAAGCAGGGCAGCACCGACCTGCACAGCCTGGGACCCAACCCAGGGCAGGGGCTGGACATTCTGCCAGTCCATAGGTGAAAGCTATTTTCTCTCTTTCTCTCTCTCTCCTCTCTCTCTCTCTCTCTCTCTCTCTCTCTCTCTCTCTCTCTCTCACACACACACACACACACAGTCAGTTAAAACCAGTCCCTGCTCTATTAATATTACAGAGAGGAGTCTGTGTCAGACAATGACAGGCCAGAGTGGGACAGCCCTGCTGTCACAGAGGAGGGGCCAGACTTGGGGGGAAAGGCTCGAGGTGAATCCTAGAGGTCTCAGTGTGCAAACACTGGCCAGTCCGGAGGGGGAAGAGTATTGCTTATAAAGGGGACAACTTGTTGGTCGTAGTCACAGGTGCCCATGGATTGATCTTGACCCAGAGAAACTCTTTAGATGGAATGGTAGGTGCGAAGGAAGAAGCCGTTCTGCAAGGGCTGAAGGCAAGGTGCCTGCTGGAGCAGGAGCCCTGGGGATAAGGACAGGAAAGGGGAGGGGGCCTGCATGGAGCTGTCCAGTCCGCTGAGGGAAGCAGCCTGCACCATCAGGCACTCAACACAGACAGGGCTGGGCAGTGCTGCTGTGTGCATTAATACTGAACTCATTGGGCATGGACTTGAACCAAGGCGGGGAAAGGAGGAAAGAGGATTTGAAACAGAGGAGACTGGGACCACCAGGTCCACATCCTAGAATGGTCCTGAGGTGGAGGTGTTGGTCGGTGCACACCTGACAAGAGGCAGGAAGACCACGGGAAATCGCTCCCTCACCACAGGCTACACTCCAGGATCATGGGGGCAGCTGCATGCAATGGCAGATCAACATGAGCCAGCCTCTGTCTGGAGGGTGTGTGGCCTAGGGACTTGTGTGTCTACAGAGCGCTCCAAATGATCCTCAGCCATTTAGTCCAGCGCCCATCTGAGGGCAAGCGTTTCTGAGAAGTGCCGATGTTCAAGTCCACTGCAGCACTCCAGGTGAGCAACAAGCTGAAACAAGGCAAAGGCAGGGGACTAGAGAGGGCGACAGGAGAAACGCAGGCTCCTTGGTGGCATGGGGGTTAAGTTATAGGCCAGCTGTGGGAACTTGGAAGAAAGCCCCGACAACTTGCTTCTGTAGGATCGCTGCCCAGAAACCCCCACAGGGCAGCTCACCCTAGTGCGGCAGGGTGGCTGGGAGTTGCAATGACTCAGTACACACAAGAGACAGTTGAGATTCAGAAGCACAGAACATGGCCCAGTGGATGGGTATTGTCGAGAGAACAAATGAGGAGAGGGAGAGGCTCTGGACAACTAACTTCCAGGTTCGGAGTTCAATGACCCAGTTGGTGGTGGTGTCAATCACATAGACAGAAAGACCATAATGGGTCCCAGACACCAATGACAAGTTCTTTGTGGACATGGTAGATGGGATGCGTTGGGGGTCAGTGGGAACTGAGTCACCCTGACTTGGGCGTGAGCACAAAGTGTCCCTAAAGGCATGGGGGACACACTCCCATGGGAGCCCAGCACCTGTGAGAGGAGGTTCCTGTGAGGGCTGAAGATGCACCCACATTCAGGGAGCTAGCAAAGATGGAGAGGCCTCAGAGGACATGGAGAATTAAGAGCCATGGAGAAAGACCAGGTTATGTCCCCAAAGCCAAGATAAAGAGTGGCAGGAAGGAGGGCATGAGCTACTGTGACAGAGGTCAGTCAGCCCGGCAACTGCTGGCTGGAGAGCACTGAGGCCCTGCCCCAGAAGCATCGGGGAGGACTGGGGAAGAGAGGTGCTTAGTGGGAACCAAGGAACACAGAGCGGTGACTAGATGTGGATTAGGGACCCTTCTCACTTTCACTACCAGAGTCCTGCACGACGGGGTAGACCTGCCGGAGTCCTGCACGACGGGGTAGACCTGCC